CTTTGTGGCCCTTATCTCCTTCCAACAGATCCCTTCTTATATTTGGGGATCCAGAACTGGACACAGTAACCAGGCTGGGTGTCATGAGAGCAGAGTAGAGGGGCAGAATCACCTCCCTTGACCTCATCACCCTTCTTTTGATGCAGCCCAGGACACTGCTGGTCTTCTGGACTCAAAAAACATATTGTCAGGTCATGCTGAGCTTCTTGCCAACAGCAACCCCCAGTCATTCTCCTCAGGCCTCCTCTCAATCCATTCTCCACCCAACCTCATTTGTGCTTGGGATTGTCCCCATCCAGGTGCAGGACCTTGTACTCAGCCTTCACTGGGTTCACACAGTGCCATCTCTCAAGCTTCTCGAGGTCCCTCTGGAAGGCATCTCCTCCTTCCTGCATGTCACCTGCACCAGACAGTTTGGTGTCACTGGCAAACTTGCTGAGGCTGTCCTCAGTCCCACTGTCCAGCCACCAACAAAAATGTCCCCAACACCAATCCCTAACACCTCTTGTCACTTGGAGATGTTGTGGAATTAAATGCTTTGCTCCTGTTTGTTTCTATTCCTATGTAACAATATTTCAACTCGGAGACTAACAACACAGTGTGATTTATGCTTACACAGTTATTTTTGAATATTTTTATATATAAAAGTTAACTAAAGACAAAGTGAAAACAGCTGATAAAGATCTTTCTCTTTCCTTTGTATTGCTGCCATTAATACTGCAAGTTGTTTCTTAAATACTAGCCAAAAATATTAGACTTGTTTGGGAACTAGTCAAACCTGTGCTCCTGGCTTTCCAGTAAAAATTGTCACAAGTTAAGAGACTCACATATTCTCAGATCCTCCTGCCACCTCTTGTCCATCATTATCCCAGATTAATGCCTGTACCTCCTTTGTTCTGCAACGGCCTTTGCTGACAGTTCTGCAAAAAAGTATTTTACTGTACCACATGTTGAGAAATGCATGCCAACAACCATCCTTCTCATTTAAGTTACCACAGAGGAGTCACATCATGCCGCTTTCTCTGGGTCGTTTGTGCAATGCCAGGTAAGGCAGGATGTGACTCAGCCATGACTGGGTTCAGAAGTAGGTCTCTGAAATATTCTGGTTTTAGTTTAATTTGGGAATTCTTGGGACTGGCAGAAAAAGGAAAGTGGACCAAGAGAAAATTAATGATCGATGGTCTAAACCTTGGTCTTCTACAAAGCCTCTGTGTATCCCTTCCTCAGAAGGCATTGATTCCTTAAGTCCTCTGAGGGGTGTAAAGGAGATTAGGGAAACTGATTTTCCCTCTCTTTCTATTCCCTTCTTTTCCCAGTTCCACAGAAGAAATCTCCCTTTCCTCCAGCTCTAGGCTGTTTAACATTAGAAAACAATTGTTCTGTCAGCAGCACCTGGAAAAACTCTTCACAGACGGAAGATCATATCACCTCTTTTTCTTCTAGTGAGGGCTTGGAAACCACCTTCTCATGAACCAGGCCTCAGCTTCCACCTTTGCTTTGAGACAAACCCTCGTTACACTTTGCCTAAGGATGTCCTGAGCTCTGAAAGATGGCTTGAGGCCATCTTTCACAAAAGCCAGAGAACCTTGCTTTGCATTTCTATTCTCAGAGATACACAAAAGCATACACTAAAGTTTTGATCAAGGCTGCATCTCTTATACATTTGTAATTTTAATATAAAACCATAAGATACACCTGTTCACTTTCCTTTAGCCTGGAAAGTCACTTTCTCCTAATAGTTGAATGATATCACAGCCTCTCTTACACAGTGTGGTGAAGGTGAATGAATTTCATAGCACTAAATTTTATAGAATTTAACTGAACCTCGCATGACTTGCATATGGATGTCAAATACAGCCACATTTTAATCCTCTGCTATTCATGAAAACAAAGAGCATATATATGCTTTTATCAATTCCACTATTCCAAACTAATCTTTGCATGGAATACTTGGCATTAAGAGACAATATTTATACCCAAAATAAGCAAAGGGATACATTTCTATTCCATACATTGTTTTATCTCACGGGATCCCTCCTGCTATGTTTTATTAGACTGATATGACTCACAAATGGCCCTGCAAATACAGTTCTCCCATACACACCTACTGGCACAAGTGGACCCCCTGAAAGGTGTAACAGATCCAAAGAGGGAACAGAATGACCAAAGAGGAAAGAAATTGGAAGCATATTATAGCACCTTTAAGGACAATTCCCATATTTTTTTCCAGGTAAACATGTCTGATATGAACACTTCAGTCATGCACAGAGAGATGACACATTTGTGTGTGGGCAGAGGATGAAATTGGGTGTGGACTGCGTGCCTCTGCAATAAGCACAGTGATAGGTCTAACTCAGCACCAGAGGCACTGAGTCATCTGTTCAGAGCTTAGAGTTCTTCATCATTCCCTTTATCACATGGAAAAATCCTGGCTGGATTGCCTGAAAATCTTTCCTTGCTGGCTGGGGCCCAATCTGAGAGAAAGGGCAACAGCACAGCAGGATTTAGACACACATGGAAATCCTCTCCAAAGTCCACTGATTCATGGAAAGGGATTGTATACCCCCACAGTAACACCAAACACTCAGAACAGTTATTTTGCTTCTTTCATCCTCCTACAGAATGGGCATAGGTGAAAATAAACAGGCTTGTAAGTAAGGCTTGTAAGTGACACTTGAAGGATTGAACTCAGCGGCAATTGAAAAATCCAAGCAAGTAACCCAATGTATGGAAGTGTGTAGCGAAAAAGCACTATCTAGTTTTGGGCAATGATCACTATGATCACCACAGATGCTGACAGTGAGTAAGCATCTCTATATTCTGATATCATGCCCAGTATCAGTTTTACATTTTCTTTTTCGTACCTTTTCAACACAAATTTGTAAATTAGCTACCTGCCAACAAATCCAATGGCATAATGGAAGAAGTACTCCCTTATTCTTAAAGCAAAAACACAACTACAGCCAATCTTAACAGCCTGAGCAAAAGAAAACCTCAGAAAATCTTATGAAGAGATGACAGTATCACACAATAACACCACAAGCAAGATAGCTGCTGTGGCTTTACTTCTTGTACCACCTCATAAGACCATGGCATAAATCTGGTATATATAAATATTCCTGCTGTAGGCAGGAAGAAAAAATATATTGTTACTGCATAATTTCCAGATGCAGGTCTTGACCACTTCATATAGGCTGTCAAGTGAGAAGCATTATAGGAGAGGTATTGTATATAGCAGAGGAATTATATTACCCACACCACTAACAAGGGCGGGAGGGGGGAGAAAAGGTGGTGCTTGTTATTACCTTGAGAATAAGTATTGCTCCCAGTTCTTCCCCAGCAGATAAAACATACACACACTGTGGCAAGAGCAGATTGCAGGGGATGAGCAACCAGAGGAGTGGCTAATTAGCCCCTCTAATTGAGAAGTAACTGATTAAATGTGCCAAGTTCAGGGCTCTAGGCTGGAGGTCAAGTCCATCTTTATGTCCAGTCCTCCTGCTTTTGCTGTCGCTCAGAAGTGGCTTCTGCACCAGTAAAACCTTTCAGATCAGATCTGCTAGATAATGCTGGTATCTAACTCCTCTCTTAACTTCTGGCTTTGTAGTAATCTTAATTGGTAATCAAGTTCTCAGAGAATGGTTTGCCTGTTGAAGAAAGCAAAGTTTCTGTTACAGCTTAGAGAGCTTATCTCCTTCCTGCCTAATGCAGGATTTCTTTTTCTTTTTGCTGGAGCAGCTGGAGACCACCGCCATGGGAGATGGGAAGTGAACTGGATGAACTCTGAATCTAACAAAATCACAGTTTCTGTTGTCTCAAAAAAGCATGATCAAATGATTAATGATGAGAGTGAACCATAAGTGAGACATAGGCTGATCCCAGAAAGTGAGTCAAACCCAAAAGTTCACCAGCACAGATTTTTATATTGATACCAAAGATCAATTTGGTCAGAAGGTTCCTAAAACAGAAGTCAGAGTGAATGACTAAAATCTGGGTAGACAAGATCCTGCAGCAGCCATCAGATAAAATCAGTTAAAAATGCAGTTTGTTACGGAAGTCAGCCAGCTCCCTACATGTCCCAACAACAGTACCCCCAAAAAATGCAAACCCCAGCTGCATGTAAATAGACAATTCAGTTCTTCACATACACTCTGGCTGCCTCTCATTAGCATGAAGCCTACATGTATTATCATGGTTTGTAGAGGTCTGACAACAGAAGCCCAAGCAATGTTATCTCAAGGATTCCTTGTGCCCCCCAGGCACTCTCTGTGCCCTCCACTGTCTTTGTGCAGCAGTTGGACCATGAGCTGACTGCAAAGGGAGCCTTTTGTTCTGTTTGCAGAAAACGTGTGAGTGACGACAGCAGCAGGAATAATAAATATAAATGGTATTACGCACACATGCAAACATCCCTGCGGAAAATTCAGCCATAGGGTGAATACCAAAATTTTACTTGTCACTTAGCTATTTATAAAGTCAAAGAGACTCAAAAATAGCAAAATATATTTATTCTTGCCAAAAATGTCTCCCAGAGTGGACGGCCCCAGGGGCTGAGATCTGAACTCTGCTCCAAACAGCAGTGCTGCCTCCCCAGCGGGGAATCCCAAAACAGGAAAGATACCCCAGAGCTGACACAAAGCCAGGAGATTTGGCTCCCACGCCAGACTTCCTCCAGCTGTCAAGACAAGTGTGTCATGGTTAAAAAACCTGCTGTGCACTGGCTATTTCCTGCTGGAGCTGTGGCAGGCTGGGCAAAGACAAGAGGAGCTCAAGGGCTCTGTTGAGCATCTCTGGCCCAAGATCAGAAGCACGCACCCAGCCCCTTCCTCTCCAGTGGCATCCAGAACCTCACAGCATTGCAGACAAGGTCTTTTATCAATCCCTATAAGCCTTCTACCACCCTTTTTGTAGTAATGGCATGACTCAAGACTTCATCTGTCGCTCTGCTGGATGTACTCCTCCTTGCCACCACCCCTCTCAGAGCCATACCTGTGAATTACCTTTTGGTCCCAAGGTACAAGGAACATCCTTTTGGGGTCAGCACCCTGCTGGGGATTATTAGCGTGCAAACTGAAGCTTTAAACAGGTTCATTCATCACGGAGGATATCTCTTCAAGGGATGGGGTAAGCCCTCAGGAGGGATGATTTTATCTGCTGATATAAGAGTGAGCAGAGAGAGATCTACAAGCTGTCCCAGGCCAGTATAGACTCAGGCTTTAAAAGTCCCATGTGGTTAAACAGTGACACATGGCTGATCCCTACTTTGCCTGTCAGCTCTCACCACTGCTTTATCATTGCTAGAGCACAACTGAAGACCATAAGAAGAAGTGAACCACATTAATTTAGAACACACCACAGCTCCTTCAGCTCTTGTGAAAAACAGAAAATCTTGAGGCAGTGGATATTTTATAACTTCTTAAAATAAACCTTAAACATAATGCTTTATTTTTTTACATCACCTGCAAAAGAAGAATTAATTGGAGGAGCACAAACTGAGCGCTAGCAGGCTCTTAAAAACCTGTGTTGGATTCATTTGCACCCAAGTCTTTTCCAAAGAGTACATGTAAATATACATATAGGAAGCAATACTTAGATGCACATTTCCACACAAGCGTATAAATATGCAGTAGAGCGCTCCTCTACTGTGGCATCCTTTTAAACATCACTTTAAAATCCTTCATGAGTTGAGACACAGACCCAGCTTACCTTCCTACTCCCCAGCTTCTCTTCACCTTTTGAAACCGAATCCTCCTTGCTGTCTCTATGGTGACAGTGACGTCCACGTCCCCCTGATGAGATGGCTGCTGGCACGCACATCAGGTGCCAGAGCAAATCCGTCAGCAATAGAAACCTCTCCAGCTCCTCCATGGGACAAAGATGCTCTTCTCCAGAACTCAGACAAACAACCTGGTAAGGAAAACAGTGTTAAGGCACTATCCTGTGTCTAAAAGAGTGGAAAACTGGGTCTAAATATGAGGTCTAAAATATTTTTTTTACTTTTTTGCTTCAATAATAATTACTGCTACTTGGGAAATAAATGTGATATCTCTGCTATCTATATCTAGATAACCTACACAGAATGGACCAATTAAAGGTAATTTCTGCCAGAGTGTTTGACAGTGAGAAGGTACTTGCGTCATGAAGCAGAGGTAGCTGATAAGCAGCATGATGAAAACCTCCTGCAATGCCCATTCACCTGGCACATGGTACCAGCAGTGACAGAAGGATGTTTCTTGGCACATGGTAAGTGGAGAGAGGAGCAGAGGGGAGATTTTTATTGAGTGCTAAGTGAGAAGCACCAGGTGGGACCTGCAAAGGTGTATCTTTCAGGGAGCCACAGGAGGTGGCTCCAGCGACGTTCTCTCCTTAGGAGAGACACAATGAGTCACTGGGGTTGCAGAACACCAGCTATTATATACAGGCCTTGCTATATTTTATGATGCTCAATAACCTAGTTGTTGAAACACAACCCCATTGTAACATGCTGTCCTGTAGCACCCTATAGGCCCAGCAAAGTATGTTCAGTCCTCACTAGCTCTTCCCTTCTGACTGCCCAGATGGGGGAATATGTGCCAGGGAAACAGCTTTGGCTTTCTGTCACAGTCCACTGCCAGCACCAGCTGATACTGCACACTGTAGATGCTCTAGATTGTCTTTATCTTTAACAGACTTTTTGTAGGTTTGCAGCTGAAGGTGTCTGTCACTGCTCCATGTCACTGCAACCCTGCTTCCCAATGCAGGGGAGGAGATGAAGGTGTTTGTGGAAACAGGCCTTGCCCTGAGGATTTTAACTGTGCAAGGTACTCCGCTGCAATCAGCTAACTTACTGTTCTTCTCTGATAAAGTTATCTGCTCAAAACTTAAGGGTCCCATTCAATCCAGATAAATATTTGGAAAATGAAATACAGACACAGATTAGTCCCATACTTCCCTAAGTTTCCATGTCCTTTTTCACTGGTCAGACAAAAAAAAGAGATATTCCATCATCTTAGAGATGAAGACTGCAATGGCCAAGCAAGTACAAACCAAAAAAGCAATAATAATAATCATCCCTCTTCTGGCACTTGGATTGTATATGCTTGGAATTAGAGAGTACTTGTTGCTCTCTGCATACTGCCCCCTTCTCATGTTTGGGTGCTGGACCCTGCCTGATTGATGCTACAACAATATAAAAGCAAGGCAGTTTGAGAAAAAATACAAGGAATGTCCAAAACAAGACAGTAATACGAGACTTAGCTGCATATATAACCCATGAGAAGTGAGAACTCCATCCAAATGATGCAATGCCTCAGTCTGTATGATTAGTAGGCACAGAAATCATCTTTTCATCCAAAGTAATGGAGTTTTCTCTGCATTTTCCTCCTCATGGGAGCACCAGTTATAGATGTGCTGCAGCAGCCAATAGATTTGTCTTTAAACAACCACACCAGAAGCACAGAAAGCTCTGTCTCTCCTAGTTCGTACAGAGCTAGTTTCAATTTCATAGCAAGGAGATATAAAAAGCATCCCAATCAAATCTTAGGGTGCCTAGGTCACAGGAATAAGAAGGGTTCTATTTCCTGATGTCATCAGAGTTGCAGAGGTGCCTGCAAGTCCCTTTCCATCAGGGACTTACAGAGAGCCCCAGCAATGCAACAGAGAGAAGCAGAGGTCATTTGAGCAAGTCCATCAGCCAAGGCAGTACTGGGAAGACCCAGGAAACCAAGGCATAACTTAAAACATTCCTTCTCCAGTCTCCAGAGATGCTTAGCAGAAGATGGTGACCTCAGGGTGCAGCAGTGTCAAGGTGACAGCATGCAGAGCAGCTCCACAGTAAGAGCAGGTTCCAGAGAGAGTATCACAGAGCACAGCAGAACAGAGATCAGTCTCCAAGGGCTAACTCACACTAAAGTTTAACAGGAAAAGCACCACCAGAAGAGGACCAGGCTTTAAAGTAACTAACTAGCCAATGAAAGGTAAAGGGAAGTTTTAAACAGAGCATCACAAACAAAACCTTTGATTACAATCATTTTGTGTATGAAAACAACTGATGATGCCTGTGCACGTACACTGTAAAAAGAGATCTCAAGTGGTTTTATATTTGGGCTTATTGAGGCTACAAAGTGATCTCTCAGAGACTCCCTTCTCAATCTGCATTCATTTTATATTTCACAGGTACTAAAACACTATGCTATCTGGACTTCAGACATCCAAGGAATTTAGATCTCCTAGCACCAATAATGCACATGGTTAGCATCATGTATTTCATACCACAACTATTTATACCTTTGAGAGCCTTTTTTGTATTCTGTGGCCATATCTGACTGGGTTACTTTTAGGATTACTTTGTCTCTGGCCTTTTGCTGTTTTCATGTTTTAAAAGTTTCTGATGGCAACATTTTAACACACTTCTAATTGGAAATGCACAATAATAATTAAAGTAGGGTGGGTTTTTAATATAAAAAACTATAATTATGCCTTTTGCTTTGTTTGACAAAGCTATGATTTTTACCAAAACACATGACCAGCCCTCGGGTGGTCTATTCACAGCAAACAATGTATTGTCCTGGGCACACAAGATGTTGTTTAATTGAGTCTCAGACTTCATTACTTAACTTTTATGGAAACTACCAGCAATAACTTGTAGAGGGTACACATTTCTTCTTTCATCAGCTCAGCATCATTGAAGGTTGCCATTATCAGCTGCTTCTTTCTCATGCACTTGGTTACATTCATCACTGGGACACTACAGTTCTCTTTGTATAAGGGTTAAAAAGCCAGAGGTAAGAGGTTATTTCCTCATTACATCAGACATACAGGAATATACAAAATCTACTGTCAAGTTCTCCAAGAGATTTCTTTCATGAAATCCAACCTTAGTTGTCAAGCCAGTGAAAGCTTAGTTGCTCTGTTTTTTGGAGCTTGAACCCAGATAAGTTACTACATAAGCAACTCCTTACCTAAAACAGATTAAAAATTCCATTTCTACAAACAGAAAGTGGTCCTTCATCATTTCTGGATAGCTTTGACATCAAGCATAATAATATGAAACTAATGAATGATTTCCACCATTCTCAGAGTCAGAAAGGTTTGTAAGTGACCATCAAAAGCTGCAAAGTCACTTCAAAGCAATTAACTCTGAAAACATCATTTCTGTTAGAGAAGAGTTTGAAGACATGTTGTTGAGCTTATCTGTTTGAAGAATTACTGAAGGGTTTTATGCTGGATTGCACTACTGCACAGAAAAATGTCCAAGAGACACAAACAGGTGATCTCCAGGCTTTTTAGTGAATAGTTCATTTTCATGGAATTTGAGAGCCACGTGAAGAGGGACGTGTGATGACGAGATGAGTTGGCATGACAAGAGAAGAAGCTCACTAAGGCAGCCACCAAAATCTCTTTGCTCTGCTTCCCTGGATACTCCACCAGTTCCTGGGATTGCTTTAAAACTGTTCACACATCCTCCAGCTGCCCATCCTCTTTATGCTTGCAAACCTTACTCTGCAGCTGTTGCGCCACGTGCCTGGGCAGAACAATTCCAGCTCATCTCTCTCTCCCTTGAGCAGGAGATGAATTGGCCATGTCCACCTCATCCAAGAGCTGTGCTCTTCTCAGCTTGAGTCTGCAGAGCCAGGGCACCCACAGCAACCTGTGTTTGTCCTACCTGCAGTGACACAAGTCCATTGGGGTGTGCTCTCTCCAGCAATGTCTGTCTCTTCCTGTCGGGAAAGTATGACTGCACACTCTATCCAGGAGTCAGCAGGAAAAACAGCTTGTAGCCAATATGGATATTCAAGCCTAAGCTCAAATTCTGAGTCAATATGATGACATGGATTGTCCACAGCTCCCAGTATCATGATCCCTGCAGTTGTTCACCAAGGGTTTGACATCTGTCAAGTGTGCTTGTCTTTCACAGGACAAGCTCAGAACAAGCACATGTAGCCACACAATTACGCCTGCCCATAAGGACTCAGATGTAACACATTTTCCCATTCCAGTATTATTGAAGAAACATTTCATTTTCAGTTGTGTTTTCAGAAGGCTAACAAGGGGCTCATGAATACATCAAAGCAAAGTCATATTATTCATTTACAACAAATGTTTCTGATTACATTTCCTCTGACCATTCAGACAACACTTTATTAAAAAGATAAAAAAAAACCCTG